CTTTTCAATTTGCGAAAGCAAATAACATAAAAAATATGTTTAATGAAGCAACTCAGTAAGCAGGGAAAGATTGGCTACATAGATTTTTAAAAAGAAATCCACAAATTAGCCTTAGAAAGCCAGAGGCCACTAGTCTTAAACCGAGTTAAAGGGTTTTCTAAGGAAAACGTAGCAACATTTTTTCGTAACTTGGAAAATGTCATGGAACGCTATAAATTTGATCCTTCATCGATTTACAATATGGATAAGACAGGGATTAGTACGGTGCATAAGCCCATATAAATACTAGCACCCAGAGGACAAAAACAGGTAGGGATAGTGACAAGTGGAGAACGCGGCCAAACCACCACCGTTTGCTGTGCGTTTTGTGCTTCTGGAGCTTTTATTCCTCCCATGTTTATATTCGCAAGGAAAAGAATAACTCCACAGATACAAAAAAATGAACCCCCTGGATCAATATACAAATGCTCAAAATCTGATTGGATAACGGAGGAATTGTTTTGTGAGTGGTTAAAACATTTTACAAAACATTCAAATGCTACAAACGACAATCCCGTTCTTTTGATTACCGACAATCACAGCAGCCATATTTCTCTCGATTGTTACAACTTCTGCCGTGAAAATGGAATAGTTCTACTCTCTATCCCTCCACATACCTCGCATCGACTACAGCCTTTGGATATTTGTTTTTACGGTCCTCTAAAAAAAGCTTACAATCGTGAATGCGATTTATTTATGAAATCAAAACCTTTAGAAAAAATGGCCTAACAAGGCCTATGGAAAAGTTGCCTCGATTGAAAAGGCTATTAAAGGGTTTAGTTCTGCCGGTATATATCCTTTAAACCCCTTCATATTCAATTAAGATTTTCCAGATTTTAATGATCAAGAAAATGACCATACTGTGGATAACACGACAAATACTGTCGCAGATGAACAGCAGCCTTCTACCAGTAGAACAATTTCCTATTCTGTAAATAGAATAACCAATGATTACATAGATCTTAACATTAATCTTACATTAATTGACTTACGGCAATCATAAACATACTATACAATTATATTAACATTGTTAAATATAATAACATAAATATTAATATAATTAAACATAAATATAATTACATAACCTTACAAATCATATGTCTGTGTTATGTGTTTCCTTCTAAAACATGGCGCGCGTGCTGAAAAGCTTCAAAGGCAGCATCTGAGAGTGGGCATTTTGATTGTTTATTATTCTGTGGCTTGGGCTGGTTCAAGGTTACTATTTTCACATAGTATAACAACTTTCCTCATTAGTAAAAAGTCGATGCCTTGCTTGGATTTGTAAGTTTTGTGGATGGTTGACTGCAATTCTCTTGAATATTTTGCGTCGATATTTACAGTAAATGTAAATCAAAGCTGAAATGAAAATAAGTAATAAAGACAATACGGTGTACAAATTCAAATTTTCATCAATCAATGGTTAGTTCATAATTTGATCGAGCTTTTCTGAATATTGGTCCAGCTCGTGTTGTGCGATGTTTAAATCGTCTGCATTGATTTTATTGCGATTTAATGGTTTCAGTTTTGGTATGTGGTTTTTTCCTTCGGTCATGGTCACAGCATCTGTATGGGATATTAACTGGATGACTTCTGTAAGTGATATTTGAGTATTTTGATACGCGGTTTTTTCTTTCGGTCATGGTCACAGCATCTGTATGGGATATTAACTGGATGACTTCTGTAAGTGATATTTGAGTATTTATTTATTTGATCTCTGGCTTGGACTCTAGTACTTCCAATAAAAGCTGTACAATCGAGTAATAATTTTAAAATCATGTTTAATTTGATGACCCGAGTAGTGACATCTTTTCTTCCACACTTAATAGTAATTGGTAATGGATCGGAAACTGTTATTAACCATAGATTTCTGACATCTGACATACGGAAGAACGTCTGAACACATTCTTTGGCTTTGGCTAATTGGTTTGCATTCTCCTGTATTTCGGGGTTAAATATATGAAATTGAATCATCATCTCGCGCTATATATTTATGTACAGTAGAAAGTAAATGATACAGGCCAGTATTGGTATCGAATAAAGGTGATATAAGGTATAAATTTGGGGTACACTAATGGTGTGGCAAGGACGAATACAATTTTTGAATCGAGTTGATATGCTTGGAGTTAATATGTAAATATACTGGGTTATATTTGATGTATAAATGGGCAATGGCAATACATTATTTTGTAATGATTGTAAGATTGTCTTTAGGGAATCCATTAAGTCATCGGGGGAAATAATTGAACTATGTAAGATTTTCAAGCGAGAAAATGCAATGGCGTTTAAAATGTCATTGATGTAATTTTCTAAAAATATGTAGCTTTCCATTAATGATTCATACAATTTGTAATCGCGCCCGATAAAATGAGATGTCGTCAGCTATATCCATGAGGGTAGTTTCAATATCATTTAGATCATTGTTAAAGGTTTCTTCGTCTAATTGCAATTTTTGGATAGTATTGTAAAAAAATTTATGACTGAAGTCGTAACGGAGATTTGATTTTTCAAGAAGGTTTTAATTTGATGCTCATCTGTGGTTATTCTATTTATACATTGATTAAAGTATTCATTGTCGGATGAGTCTAAATTTCCACTAATAAATTTTCAGACAGTTCCAAGACCGTTGATTAATCCGCGTTTTTGGCGTGGAGTATAGGTACTTGTGTCAGCAATTACTTCTGTACATTTTAGCTTCACAGAATTTGAAATTTCTCTGATCAAGCTGATACGTGCTTGTATTTCGGCTTGGAAGGAGAGTTTTCTGGGTGTATCGGCATTAGTAAATTTATCTAACAGGTTTCTTAGAATTCTGTCTTTGTTGGATAATATAGTTTTTGTCCATTTTGTCCAATAACGTTCATTTGTCGTTAGATATACGGATGGTACCTTCTTCTTGATGGAATCTGCAAAGAAGAAATTTATTTAAAGTATTGTTTATCAAAATTTACTTTAGAATTTTGATTGGTTTGGGTATTTAGGATAATAGAACAATTTGTAAATATTTTTTGGATTTAAAAGGGACCGTTAAATAAATTATCTGATTTTGATTTAATTTGAGATTCTTTTACATATAACTTGTCACCGATTTTAAAGTTAGGTCGTTGTGTTGAAATATTTTCATAAAATATTTTGGCTTTTTCTTTTCATATTTCTGTTTTTGCTCTGGCTACTTTATAAAAGTATTCCATACGGTTATTGAGGTCTCTAACGTACTTATTTAATTATATAAAGTTTCGGGTGGTCTTCCTGTAGTATGCCCAAAGATGAGCTTATACGGAGTGAAACCGTGTGTTTTGTTTTTGATTTTGTTGTAACATAAGAAGAAGAAGAAGAAGAACAGGAGTCACAGATGCAGTTAAAAAAATAGCCATGGCTAAATAGGCTAAATAGGCTTGGGAAGGACATGTTGCCAGATTATCGGATGATAGATGGACCAGAAAAATTCTGGAATGGCGACCAAGGCAAGATGCATATCCAAGCAGAGGACGACCACCGACTAGATGGACGGATGATATCAAGCGCATCACCACAAACTGGACGCAAGAAGCTCAAAATAGAAATAGGTGGAAAATTTTACGGGAGGCCTACGTTCAGCAGTCCACAAATATAGGCTAATTGATGATGATGATGATGATTGTTGTAACATCACTTCATAAAAAAAGGATCGTGAATATGTGATCATTGGGATCCTCGGCTTGATTTGCTTGATTTCTGAGAGTGTGGCATGAAATCGTTCTATAGATCCATTAGATTGCGGATAATTTACACTGGAAAATGTTAATTTTATATCATAGTGCGTGCATAGATCCTTAAGTATGGCATTTTCAAATTCTCGGCAACAGTCGCAGTGTATTCTTAAAGATGTTCCGTAATGTTGGAAAAATAGGAGAAGTGTACTTGTTACGGTAACTGCCTTTTTGTGCATGCATAATTTCTGGTAGGATATAAAATATGTCAACGTTGATTCTTTCGAAGGAGAAGGACATTTTTGGAGTTTCTGTTATAACTAGTGTTCCACTTAATTTTTTTTTGTAAATCTTAACCTTTTGACAAATTTCGCAGGCTTTTATATATTTTTCTACGTCCTTTGTTAAATTTTTCCAATTATATTTTCTTTTATGCGTCTGACAGTTTCGTCTATCCCTCGGTGTGTTATTTTTGCCATATGTATATATATATATATATAAAATATATATATATATATATATATATATATATATATATATATATAATATATATATATATATATATATATAAAATATATATATATATATATATATATATATATATTTATATAAATATATATATATATATATATATATATATATATATATATATACATATATATATATACATATAATACAATTCCGCTAGCTAATTCAGCTATAATACAATTCCGTTACTAATTCAGAACCGTAAAATTTTGATGAATTTAAGTTTGCCGATCTTGTAAAATTAAACAAATTTGTATTGAATATTATTCGTTAAAACACCATATACAATTACTATAATGTTATTTCACTGAACATTGACAAAAAAAGTTATAAGGCCCAAATTAAAATAGGTTTAAAAATTTTCAGCTATTTTTGTTTAAACCTTTTTTATTTTTTATTTTAAGATCAAAATAATACACACGTAATACAAACAAAGTTGTAGACAATTTATTTTGCTATAAATAATATTACATAAAATTTTCTGTAGTGTTTTTAGTTTACGAGATATAGCGCGAAAATACTTTTCACCCCTTTTTCCAAAATGGCGACCGAAAGACAAAGGTGGCGACCACACAAACTTGAACTTAAGCTTATATTAAATCCCCACATATCAAAAAAATGAAATTGTGTATTCAGAAAAATGCAACCCTAAATGTAACTTTTTAATGGACTAATAAATAATATTTAAACGTCTGTTTAATGGCATAAGTATAGGTACTATTGTATTTTGTTTTTTTTTATTTTTAGGCGAAAAACAAGAAGAGAACTCGTTAGAGTATCAGCCGCAGTAATGGGAATAGAGTTTTCATATGCTGCAGAAACGGCTTTCGTTTCACCAACACTTTTAAAAATCGGCGTTGAGCATAAACACATGACATTAGTATGGGCGCTTTCACCACTTATTGGTTTTTTCCTAACTCCAATTTTGGGATCTCTTAGTGATAGATGTCATTTGAGCTATGGTAGAAGAAGACCATTTATTTTACTTATGTCAGTGGGAGTCCTATTAGGTACATTTTACTTATTTATGCATAAATACATAAATCTTCAATAAATTCGAAGAGTTCATTGCAAAGTCTTCGTTAAAAAATATAAATATTCAAATTAAAAAAAATATTTATTTAAATAGTTTTAATTTTAATATTAGCAGTTTGAAATTCATTATGTTTTACTTTGAATTTTAGTTAGACTGAAAGGACTACTTTAACCTTAGAATATCACTATAGATCTCTTAGGTTGAGTGGAAGGGTGGTTATGCATCCATTCATATTAAACCTAACTTAACTTAACCTAATGTGGTTAAATATCTGGAAATTCATTTGGATAGTAAAGCTGAAACACTCATTGAGAAAAAAAAACCTTAGCTTAATCTACAGAAATATGTATTACTATATGAGTAAAAAACCAAATCTTGGCTTACAGAACAAACTTCTGAAATACAAATGTACGATATGGATGTATGCAGAAAAAATCTGGGGAATAGCACGTAATATTAATATAAGAGTATATAAACGTAACGATTCCAATCAAAAGTGCTACGCAAGATCTACTATATTCCTTGGTATGTTACGAACCAGAGTTTGCACTATGTACTACAGGCAACAACAGTTAGCCAAGCTAGTACAGCTGTAATCCCTTTATACACGATAAGACTATTTTTCCACCGATATCTTTGCCGTGAATCTTCTCAAGATTTCACATGATAGAAGATTAAAAAGTCTAGACCCTTTGAACCTCTAGTAAATCTAATGCATGCCATACACACTACGGTTTACAGGAGAGGTCTACCTGTGCAGGCATGCCTGCGCAGGTAGACCGGAACATGTGTGGGAATAGACCTGTGCAGTTTTTTTGAACCAGTACAGGCGACCGGAGCAAAGTCAAAAATCAATTTTTTCGAGTGACACCGTACGATGTACCTGCACGCCATACACACTACGGTCTACCGGAGAGGTCTACCTGTGCAGGTATGCCTGTACAGGTCAACGAAACAGCGGTAGCGTGTATGGGGACTCTCCGGTGTACCGGTGCGATCTTCAGTTTCTTTAACGATGACATCGATTGAAGATGATCAGGCTTTGGCACTGTTAGGTCTTGTTTTAATTTTGAAGACAAAAGTAAAAAAAAACACTGAAAAGTAAGCGAAAAAAGTGGTGTAAGCATTGGTTGTTGAAAAGGAAAACATACAGTCGTGTTAACTTTTTGAATGAATTTAAATTTGAACCAGAAGATTTTAAAAACTATCTCCGGATGGAAGAGGAAACATACATTAAATTACTTGAAATGGTATGATAATCCTATGATAAAAAAGAAAGACACAGTTATGAGAAATAGTATTTCTGCACATGAAAGATTATCAGTTACGTTGGGTTTTTTCGCAACTGGAAGAACTTATAAGGATTTAAAATTCTCATCAATTATTTTATCTCAAGCGCTTTTTTATCTCAATTATGGTAATCTTTGGTTTTGATTTCCCAAGGACATGAATGAATTCTATAAATTTCGATAAATTTGTCATGCGTTTTTTTAGTTGAAACTGGTGGCCCCATTTTCTAGGGTTAACTAAATAGTGGTGTGACAATACGGTGCGAACAACAAGACGCTTTTCCCAGAGAAACACTAGAAAACAATTTACGCGACCTGCGCAGGCGACCGGAGTACACGCACAGACGCACAGGTGCATCGTACGGTGTCACTCGAAAAAATTGATTTTTGATTTTGCTCCGGTTGCCTGTGCAGGTTCAAAAAACTGCACAGGTCTATTCCCACACACGTTCCGGTCTACCTGCGCAGGCATGCCTGCACAGGCAGACCTCTCCGGCAGACCGTAGTGTGTATGGCGTGCATCATGCAGGTTTGTGCATGTACTCCGGCCGCCTGCGCAGGTCGCGTCAGTTGTTTTCTAGTGTTTCTCTGGGAAAGTCATCTTGTCGTTCGCATCGTATTGTCACAGTCACACCACTCTTTAATTAACCCTAGAAAATGGTGCAACCAGTTTCAACTAAAAGAACGCTTGAAGAATTTATCGAAATTTATAAAATTCATCCACGTCTTTGGGAAATCAAAAACAAGGATTACAATAATCGAGATGAAATAATTGCTGAAAATTTTAAATCCTCACAACTTCTTCCAGTTGCGAGAAATCTCAACGTAAATAATAATCTATCATGTGCAGAAATACTATTTCTCATAACTGTGTCTTTCTTTTTTATCATAGGAGTAACCATTTCAAGTAATTTAATGTATATTTTCTCGTCCATCCGGAGACAGTTTTTAAAATCTTCTGGTTCAAATTTGAATTCATTCAATAAGTTAACACGAATGTATGTTTTCCTTTTCAACAACCAATACCTACACCACTTTTTTCGCTTATTTTTCACTGTTTTTTTAACTTTTGTCTTTAAAATTAAAACAAGGCCTAACAATGCAACGCGTCATCGCTAAAGGAACTGAAGACCGCACCTAACCGGAGAGTCCCCACCATCGAGCAAAAAGACAAAAGAGGGAATCTAATCGTTATGAAAAGGAGACCAAAAAAGTGGACTCTGATGACGGACATATCCGGAAATGCAAAGGCGCTAAATTTAAATTTTCTGACACTTTTTAACAATAGCTATAAAATATTTTTCAGACGAAAAAGTTTTCATTAAATATTAACGATAATAGTCTAAAAAGTGACACAATTGGTAAAAAACTTCAATATAAATAAAATTTCATATGCCAGTTGGGACAAACAATAATAAAACCAAACTAATTTGATTTCTTAAACAAGGAAAGAGACTGTCTTTCCTTGTTTAAAGTGGCCTCTCAAGATAGCACTTCCTGTCTAACAATATTTTTGTCCCCACTACCTTTACATTCCCTCTTTTGTCTTTTTGCTCGATGGTCTTCACACACCAGTTTCGTTGACCTGTACAGGCATACCTGCACAGGTAGACCGTAGTGTGTATGGTGTGAAGGAAACAGTGTAATGTGACATAACAGTGCAGTTAAATAACAAGTTTTTAATCCAATGATTGTTTTTAAAGGTTACTTGTATTTTTAATACTAACAATACTCATATTTGTTATTGCGATAAAGCAAAAAAGATGGGCAAAAATTAAAGTAAATCCCTAGACTCAACTAAAGAAATCTGGGCGAAAAAAGATAAATAAAAACAAGTCTCTTCCAACGCAAAAACTCTATGGTTCTAAACAGAGGTGAAAAAAAAAGCAAGGAAAAGAAAAAAACCTTACGAACAAGAAATAAGAAAACATGCACCTAAAAAAATAATTACAAACGAACACTCGTCTAAAAAGAATTGTGGCATGATTTTTATGGTTTACAAAATGAAATATGGCGCTTTATAAGAGCTCAAAGAGTAGAGGTGAAAGAATTAATAGAACCAAAACACATCGAAAAGAATACATGGATTGACTATCTAAAGAAGTAATATACAGAAGAACAAAAAATAATTTTGGAACCACAAACACGAAAAATTACCATACGCGAAAGTCACACAAGGAAGCATGAAGTACAGAAAAAAAAACTAAAAGACAGAAAAGCTGCAGGTAAAGATGAGATACCAAACGAATAATTATTGTTAAAGTATGGTGGAGCATCACGGCAATAACGTGAAAACATTAATTAACAAGATTATAAGACACACTAAAATACCAGAAAAATGGGGGACATGGCTAATTTTATTATTCAGAAAGGGTGATAAGAAGCAACCAAAAAACTAGAGAGGTATCAATTTGCTAAATATTACCTTAAAACTTACAACTAAAATTTTGCAAAACCAATAAATCAGCTCATAAACTTGGCAAATAAACAACAAGGTTTTCGTACGGGTACAATATTCGTCATAAAACAGATTATAGATAATTAATTAGATTGCGATGGAACCGCATTCCTATGTTTAATCGACTTGAAGAAGGCATTTACAAAGTAAGACAAAGATGTATTGCATCTCTCAAAACAATAAGATGTAAGTCAAAATCGATGAATAATTTACGTAACATATAGATACAAACAATGAAATAAGACAGAGGATTCACTAAGCCCTATCTAATCATGGATAATTAATAATTTAATCTATCTAAGCATGGGAGTGTCAATAAAGGAAGAGGATTTAGAATGGGGAATAAAGATATTAAAATTCTCTATTACGTAAACAATAAAATATTGATAGCCCAAAATGAAGTTCAGAAGTGCTTTAAAGCCTGGTCTCACAGATTTAATACACGAGCCAAAGAATTTAACATCACGATTTTAACTCAGAAATTTAAAACAATAGTAATCAGTTGAAAGTCGATGGGGTTATTTTTGCACAAGTAATGAAAATAAAGTATCTTGAGATTATATTTTCCGGCTAGGCTATAGAGACGTTGAAAAATAAGTAAGAATTAAATACAAAGAGAAAATAGATTAGTAGGATGCCTTAATAACACTACATGGTGTAACCAACACGTTAACTGTAAGATAAAATCAAGAATAATTAAGGCCAGTATAAGACTAATAATGACATACGAATTAGAAATAAAACCTAAAATAGCCAAAACACAGAGAGTGCTGCAAGCAGCAGAAATGAGAACAATTGCAGGAAACACACTGAGAGACCGAATAAAGAGTGACACGATTGGAACCAAACGTACAGATTATAAACGAGTAGACATTAGATGTGAAAAAAAATGGATAAATCACATCAGTAGAAGGACGGACATAAGAGTCATTAAAATATGAAGGAAAAAACTACCAAGTGGTAGAAAAAGTATTGGTCGACCGTGCAAGAGATGGAGTGACAATCTTTTATAGAGACCCGCCAATGAACAAGTAATTGTATATATAAAGAAAGAAGAAGAAGAAGAATATATTGGATGTTAATGCTTTTTATATATGTTAAACTCAGTCTGTGATGTTTAGAAACTAATTGCAATGTCATAGATTACAGTTAAACTATGTTGCTTATTATCTGTAATGGAACATATTGCAATAAATATTGGTAAAATGTTAAAAAAATTTCTTTCTT